TAGATAATAAACAACATGGGAGCTCTCGAGGTACCCCCTCGTAGTCCCAAAAAGTAAATACACAGCAGGGGAGCTCCTGAGGTACCGCCTCGTAGTCCCAAAAGTAAATATGCAATAGGGGAGCTCCTGAGGTAGCGCCTCATAGTTCCAAAAGTAAATATGCAACATGGGAGCTCCCGAGGTACCTCCTCGTAGTCCCAAAAGTAAATATGCAATAGGGGAGCTCCAGAGGTACCGCCTAGTAGTCCCAAAAGTAAATACACCACTCATAACCTATGGAACGACGGATTTACAGCAAGGAATCCTACAGTTAAAGACCGAATACGAAATCAAGGAATCAGGTAATTCAACTAAGCATGTTGCATAAATTACAAGTAAGAGTTAAAACACGTAGACATGTGACATTAGGCTAAACATGATGACTACACAATTCCACGAAATCAATTATGTCACAGTTTCTACGGTGCACGCCCACACGGCCGTCACCTAGCATGTGCTTCACCCCCAAACAAATGATTTAACACATATTTTCGGAGTTTATATCCTCAGATCCAAGTTTAAAAATATTACTTACCTCGAACAAGCCGAATCCAATGACGAGCAAGATAAACAATACTTCAGAAATTCCATTTCGCACGTATCAACCTCTGAACGACTTCCTATCTCCTCAATTCCAAGCCGAACGATTCGAAACTAGTCAAACAACGTGCAAACTAATGAAAATTACACCAATGCTTACAATTTAATTTTTTTTTAAAATTCCCAACTCTACTCGAAAAGTTGGCAGTGGGGCGCATATCTCGAAATCCGACAAACTCACAATATCCAATAATCCATTCAATTACGAGTCAAACCATACTAGTTTCACTAAAATACGACTCCGAATCGACATTCAAATCCCAAAAATTTATTTTATGAAATTTCTACAATATTTCCCAAATTTCCATCTCAAAATACTAATTAAATGGTGCAAATAATGGAATATTCAGGTATATTAACCAAATCCGAGTTAGAATCGCTTACTCCGATGAATTACTTGACAATTCCACGAAATATCGTCACAAACCGAGCTCACATAGTCCAAATATGAAATAATGCTCTAACCCTCATTTATAAAGTACAACAATCTGATCTCCCATTGTGTTGACCGCACATTGTTTGTGCGGTCCGCATATTCCATGTTCCGCGACTGCAATCCATATTGTGCGGTTGCATATCAGTAGTGACTTCACTATCAGGCTTTAGTAAATTGGCCATAACTTTTGCTACAAATGTCCAAATGAAGAATTGTTTACTTTTCGGAAAACTAGACTCAAAGGGCTACAACTTTTGTTTTTGGATTATCTCCAAATTCCTTATGGATTAAAGGTTCGAAGTAAGACTATCAAACCTGCAGATTTTCCTTTCTGGAGCCGCACATTTTCCACTGCCTCCGCACTTTGGGAGTTCGCGGCCGCACATCCGCACTCCAAAAATGTTCCATTCGCACTTCAACTGCTCTAGGACATCATCAAAGTGCCGAAATGCCCAAACTTGTTCAAAACTCACCCTGAAACACACCCGAGGCGTTCGGGACCCCGTCCGAATATACCAACAAGTCTCGTAGCATACAACGGATCTACTCAAGGTCTCAAATCACACCTAACAATATTAAAATCATGAATCACACCTCAAATCAAACTTAATGAACTTCCAATCATCCAGCTTCCAAAACTCGTGCCGAAACGTATCAAATCAATCCTGAATGACTTCAAATTTTTTACACAAGTCATAAATGACATAACGAGGCTACTGAAATTTCCGGAACCACGATCCAAACCTGATATTATCAAAGTTAACTCCCGGTCAAACTTATGAACATTCCAAACCTTCAATTTCTAACTTTCGCCAATTGGCGTCGAAACCTTCTAGAAATATCCAAATGAAATTCCGGGCATACGCTCAAGTCCAAAATCACCATCTGGACCTGAAGGAATTATCAAAATTTCGATCCGAGGACGAATACTAAAAAGTCAAACTTGGTCAATTCTTTTAACTTAAAGCTTCACACATGCAATTCATTCTTCCGAACTAATTCTGAAACACCTGAAAACCAAAACCAATGATTCACACACGTCATAATACATCATATGAAACTATTCAAGAGTTCAAACAGTTGAAAGATGCGTAAATACTCAAAACGACTGGTCGGGTCGTTACAAGAACCTAGACACCACACTAATCACACGCCATTCAATGCATTTTGTAGCAGCAAACAACATGTTTCTTTCATCGTCTTGCATCTTTAAAGTCAGCAATTGCTTAGAAACATTTCACATAATTGTGAGCCATCTTCTTATGAGGAGGCATCTATGAATCCCGTATGGCAAATTGCAATGACACATGAATTTGAAGCTTTATACGCTAACCATACTTGGGATCTAGTTGAATTACCTGCAGGAAATAATGCTATAGGATGTAAATGGGTATACAAGATCAAACACAAGGAAAATGGAAGTGTAAAAAGATTCAAGGCAAGACTTGTAGTGAATGGATACACATAAGAAGCATGAATTGATTACACAAAAAACTTTTACATCAGTGGTGAAGTTGACCACAGTCAAAACACTAATCAGCATTACAGTAAAGAGAGGATGGGACCTTTATCAACTAGATGAAAACAATGCATTTCTTCATGGGGATCTACATGAATAAGTGTATATGGAAGTTCCATAAGGTCTAATGGTACCTAATGAAAATATAGTGTGCAAACTTAGGAAGTCATTATATAGTTTAAAACAAACTAGCACACAATGGTATAACAAATTGACAGAATCCTTGCATTCTAGGGGTTTCAAACATTCGGCTAGTGTTTACTCCTTGTTTTACAAGAAACAGGGGAACTTAGTAATTTTTGTGGCTGTATATGTAGATGATGTAATTCTTACTGGCACCAACATGGAGTAAATCAAAGAATTGAAGGCTATCCTGCACAATCAATTCAGGATAAAGGACCTTGGAAAATTACACTTCTCGGGGCTAGAGATGTTATACAAGTCTAATGGAGTACTGATTTTCTAGAAAACATTCACTATAGACATGCTAAAGGAGTATGATTTCTTGGCATATTCTACTATTACCTCTCCACTTGATTTTACTATTAAACTGAGGAGTGAAGAAGGAACCTTGTTCTCTGATCGAGGTATTACAGGAATCTAGTTGGAAAATTGAATTTCCTAACAAACACAAGGTTGGATATAGCCTATAGTGTACAACATTTGAGCTGGCTTATGAAGGAACCAGGGGAACCTCGTCTAAAGGCTGTTATACATGTTCTTAGATACTTAAAGAAAGATCCTACTTTAGGAATATTTTTGTCCAATGATCCAATCTATGCTATTAGTGCATATTATGACTCGAAGATACAAGATGAGCTAGTTACACTATACCACATTTCCACCTCTGCTCAATTGGCTGTCATTTCGACAAAGGCACTTATAGGGGTTAAACATTGTGATCTTCTCGGCAAGTTGGCAGTGAGTCCCTCACCTCCAACTTGAGAGGGGGAGGGGAGGGTATTGGGAATGGTTGATGTAATATTTATTTGTATCTTAGTTGTGTAGTTGATTAGTCAATATCAGTATTTTAAAAGGCATTTCTGGGATTCACCCGGGGCTCGCCCCTGGGCGGGGCACTTGCAAAACGCCCTGGGGCTCATGTATGGGGCATAGTTCTGTGAGGCTTACGCCCCAAACGCCCGACCGTACGCCCTAAACACGCCTAACGACCAACGCTCGGGGCTCGCCTAACAGTTCTAACTCAAATCACGTGTCGAATTTCCTAATTAATATCGTTGACCTTCAAAATTCTTTAACAAATTAATGATAAAAGTTTTATTTATCGATAGAAATATGAAGATTGAGCATAACTCTAATAATGAGACATAGTATTGCGAGTTTATATCTTCACTTGTTATTGGCGTATCTTAGTTCATTTGTCCCTCCTTGTTATACACTTTTATTAATTTGATATCTTAAACTAATTTGTATTTATTCATGAAGGAGTAATATTTTAATTATCGTACTAAAAAGATTTTATTAATTATTTACTTTTAGGAAGGTAAAATATGGAGTTTGATCATTTTTTAAAGATATTGTAAGTTTTTAATTATTTGAAAGTTAAAGACGCTATACGTGATTTGTATGCATTAGTTATACTTAAGAATCATGCTAGATGTTTTTTTTCTAGGAGTTCCTTTAATTTTATTTTAATTTTTAACTTTTAATTTATATTTTATATTTTTTGTGTTATTATGTTATTTTATTAATTTATAAATTAAAAATTTTAAAGATCCATGGGGCTTAAGCCCCCCTTCCCCCGCGCGCCTCTAGGCTTACGCCTCGCCCCATATCAAGTAAAACGCCCCGCCTCACGCCCCCGCNATTTTACCCATTTATAAATATTTACTGTCATTATATTATTTTATAAAATATTAAAAATTAAATACTTACGGGGCTTACGCCTCGCTGAGGCATTTGTAAAATGCCTCGCCTTACGCCCACGCCTTTTAAAACACTGGTCAATATTAATCAATATAGTTGAACTAGTTAGAATGACAATTTTGTAATTAGGATATTTTCTCTTACACTCTTACACATGTGTATATATACATTTTGTAGAAGTGGAAATAACACTGAGTTCTTTTCTCCCAATTTCTCTGTCTTCTAGAACCTTCTAGATACTTTGATGTTTCTGATCTCTAATTTTGACATTATTTATTGAACAGTTATATATAGTTATCTGTTACGTGATCTGATAATATAAAACTTTGTTTATATATCTTATGTGGTTTGCGAGCTATTGTACATTCAATAGGTTACCTAGTATGCACCCGAAGAGTGGCGGCAGTGGGTTTCCCTAGAAATTAAAAAAAAAGTTTTTAGACCCACTTCGAATTAAATTGAATCTTCAATAAAAACAAAAAGGAATGTTTTTAACATAAGAACCAACTATAAAAGATATTTCATATGACTAGAAAGTTGGAACAACAACATGATAATGCTCTTTCTACTCTTTGTAGCCTTTCCTTTCGTTCTTATTTTCCTTCTTTCTAAATCCAAGAATGGTGGAAAAACCACACTGCCACCAGGTCCTATAGGCTTACCATTCATTGGAAATTTGCATCAATATGATACTTTAAACCCTCATCTCTATTTTTGGAAACTTTCCAAAAAATATGGGACAATATTCTCCTTAAAACTTGCTTCTGCTCAAATGGTTGTAGTTTCTTCAGCAAAATTAGCAAAAGAAGTATTGAAAACACAAGATTTAGTTTTTTGTAGTAGACCGTCTATTCTTGGACAACAAAAATTGTCTTACTATGGTCGTGATATTGTTTTTGCACCTTACAATGATTATTGGAGAGAAATGAGAAAAATTTGTGTTCTTCATCTTTTTAGTCTAAAGAAAGTTCACTTGTTTACTCCAATTCGTGAAGATGAAGTTTTTAGAATGATTAAGAAAATATCAAAACAAGCTTCTACTTCACAAATTACTAATTTGAGTAATTTAATGATTTCATTAACTAGTACTATTATTTGTAGAGTTGCTTTTGGTGTTAGGTTTGAAGAAGAAGCACATGAAAGGAAGAGATTTGATTTTCTTTTGGCTGAGGCACAAGAAATGATGGCTAGCTTCTCTGTCTCTGATTTTTTTCCTTCTTTAAGTTGGATTGATAAATTAAGTGGATTTACAGATAGACTTGAGAGGNTATATACCTGCTTACGCACGTAGAGGTGTTAAATGAACATGCTGGACCATATATGGACAAGGTCAAAACAGGCCGTGATCCAACCCAACAAAGTTTAATCGAATCAAAATGGGCCTCGTCAAGATAAGTTAAATGATGAGTCATAACCCAATATGCTCGACATGACCCAACCTACCCTCCCTTTTTATTTTGCTTTTTGAATAAAAATTGAAAGTTAGACTTATTTTTCTTAAGTTATTAGTTTAAGTTCTTACAAATCTTCATAATTCTCAATCTCCAAAGTTCATAATCATCCTTTTTGTTCCTCAATATAGAAAACTTTATTCTTTTAGACTCAAATTACTTGTACTTGTAAGTAACGTATAATAGATTGTTTTGATTAGTGTTTTGTGGGGATGGAGCACACATATATATACTTTTCTTCAATATTTATGCAATTTACATGTTTATAAATATTAATTGTCATTATATTATTTTATAAAATATTAAAAATTAAATACCTATGGGGCTTACGCCCCGCTGAGGCATATGTAAAACGCCCCACCTTACGCCCGGGCCTTTTAAAACACTGACTCTTCTACTTGGCATCAGAGATTAATTCAATTTTTTCAAGGTTTTCATCTTTCAATAGAATTTCTCTGTATATGTAGAGCAGTCTACTTTAAGACGGTCTTTTTATTTATATTTATGACACATGATGCATAAATTTGAACTGCAACAATAAATTTTATTGTTTGTCATTAAATCTTAAAACGTAGAGAGAGTATAAATATTCGGAGTTGGTAAAATTTTACCTATCTATAATCTACCGCTATCAAGACGAATTAATGAAGTAAAAGTAGATTAATCCTCTCCTTCAAGTTAATACATTGACATGAGTTGCTAGTTTGATTACATAATGTAAAATAATTTTGTTGTTTAAAGTGATTTAATGAAAAACGAAAGCTCTCTTCTTCCTTAAAATAAAATAACTAGTCAAAACACTTTTTTGTGACGAATCGCGGAATTTGCTACCAAAATATTTATTTGGTGGCGATTAAACTTGCCGTAAAATAGCAGAAAAACAAAAGAAAATAAGAAAATGCACTTTCTGTTGGGGAATCATCTTGAATTCCTATTTTATGGCCCTATAATAACAAGAAACAAGGAACGGTCGTAGCGAAACAATGACTATTGTTCATTAGATCGTTTTTTGTGAGCCCGAAATATTTTAGAAAATTCGGGACCAGTTACCCTAATTCATGCAGATGGCGTGGACTATAGCACACGAAAATCTAGGAATCGCCCTGAATTCCCGTTTTATAGTCTTAAACGCTAAAAACGAGGAGCGATCATGGTTGTAATGACCCGACCAGTCGTTTTGAGCTCTAGCGCGTTATTCAACGGTTTGAGATATCGAGTAGCTTCATTCCAGGTGATATGACTTGTACGTATGGTCGGAATTAAATTTCGGGAAGTTCAGAGTTGATTTGGAAAGAAAAATTTAAATTTGGAAACTTTAAGTTAGAAGAGATGACCAAACTTTGACTTTTTAGTAGACGACCTCAGAATCGAGATTTGCAGGTTTCAATAGGTTCGTATGATGATTTTGGACTTAGGCGTATGTCCGAATTGAGTTTTGGATGACTCGGGAGCGTTTCGGCGCCTATTGTGGAAGTTGGCATTTTGGAAGAATTTTATAAATTTGGGTTGAAGTACATTTCAATGTTATCGATGTCCATTTGGGATTCCGAGTCTGGGAGTAGCTCCGTATAATGATTCTGGTATTGGGAGTGCGTCCGAAAGTGGATTCAGAGGTCCGTAGATCATTATGGAGTCATTTGGCGAAAGTTGGAAATTTGAATAATTTTGAGAAGTTTGACCGAGAGTGGACTTTTTGATATAGGGGTCGAATTCCGATTCTGAAAGTTGGAGCAGGTCCGAAATATCAATTATGACTTGTGTGCAAAATTTGAGGTCAATCGGACTTGATTTGATAGGTTTCGGCATCAGATGTGGGAGTTAGAAGTTCAATAGTTTATTAGGCTTGAATCGATGCACAATTCATGATTTCAATGTTGTTTGTTGCGATTTGAGGCCTCGAGCAAGTTCGTGTTGTGTTTTGGGACAGGTTGGTATAATTGGACGGTGTCCCGGGGGTCTCGGGTGTGTTTCGGGGTGGTTTCGGATCGAATTTGGATGAAAAGTTGTTGCTGGTTTGCTGGTTCTGGTTTTGTTCTTCGCGAACGCGAAGGGAGTCCCGCATTTGCGAAGAAGAAAAATGGTGGCTGCTATCTTGTGCTTCGCGAATGCGAACAGTGGGTCGCGAATGCGAAGAGGAGTTTTGAGGCTGCTGGGTTTTGGCCTTCGCGAACGCAATGTGTAGTTCGCGAACGCTGAGGGATTGACTGAGGAAACTACGCGAACGCGAAGGGTCAATTGCGAATGCGTAGAAGAAAGGAGGAGACGGGCCTAAGGCCATTTGGCCTACGCGAATGCAATGGCTTAAACGCGAACGTGAAGCCTTGCATGGACAGGCCTTCGCGAACGCGACACTGATCATGCAAACGCGAAGGGGAAATGCTGGAGCATAACCCATTATGCTCAACATGACCAAACCTACCCTCCTTTTTCATTTTGCTTTTTGAATAAAATTTGAAAGGTAACTTATTTTTCTTAAATTATTAGTTTAAGTTTTTTTAAATCTTCGTAATTCTCAATCTCAAAGTTGATTTTGTATGTTTGATTTTGGATTGCAATTTGGCCATCATGTTACACCAATTGATTATTTGTAATCCAATAGTTTGATGAGTCATTTCAAGTTGAAGCACTCGGGTCAAGTCAACAAATTGGTCAACACTAAGCCCCTTTAAACTTGGTTGGGAGGATAACTAAAAGATGGATTGATTTTGCTACTTCTAATGTACAAGTAAATAGCACAAATGTGTTATTATTGCCTTAAGAATTTTTCATGAATTTACAACTTTTATTTTCTTTTTCTTGTAGAATGTGTTGGTTGCAGGATCAGACACTAGTGCAGCTGCTACTGTTTGGGCAATGACAGCCTTGATAAAAAATCCAAAAACCATGAAAAAAGTTCAATCAGAAATCAGAAAATCAATAGGGAAGAAAGGAATTGTAAATGAAGAAGATGTCCAAAACATGCCTTATCTCAAAGCAGTGATAAAGGAAATATTTAGATTGTATCCACCAGTTCCACTTCTAGTTCCAAGAGAATCAATGGAAAAAACCATATTAGAAGGTTATGAAATTCGGCCAGGAACCATAGTTCATGTTAACGCTTGGGCTATTGCGAGGGATCCTGAAATATGGGAAAATCCAGAAGAATTTATACCTGAGAGATTCTTGAATAGCAATATCGATTACAAGGGTAAAGATTTTGAGTTAATTCCATTTGGTGCAGGCAGAAGAGGTTGCCCAGGTATTCAATTGAACCCACAATATTTTTAGGGGAAGTTACACGTTTTGTCGCTCGGCCAAAAAAACATTTACAGCCGCTAACTAATATACATATTTTCAAAAGGCTCAGAATCTTGAATCTATAAAAATTAAATCTTGGATCTGTCTCTGCAGGTATTGCACTTGGGGTTGCATCAATGGAACTTGCATTGTCAAATCTTCTTTATGCATTTGATTGGGAGTTACCTTTTGGAATGAAAAAAGAAGACATTGACACAAACGCCAGGCCTGGAATTACCATGCATAAGAAAAACGAACTTTATCTTATCCCTAAAAATTATCTATAGATTATATTGAGACGTGGATCTCAATTTAGTTCTGTGAGGTCAGCTAAACTTATTGTTTTTGGCTCGAATGTGTCAAAGACGACCCTATCTGTTGCGAAAATATTACTTTTAGTGGCGACCGATTTCGCCGTCAAAGAGTTTTTTAAAGTTTAAATTAAGCAAATCTCACTAGTAATTGCTCAAATATATAACGCTAGTCCATTACCAATACCATGATGAGAATACCAAATACATTTATCATCATAATTAGTAGAATCTTTTATGGCCATTATAGAAAATAAGCAATTCAACAATATACATTTCAAGGTATTTACACTTGAACAAGAAAGAATCATTTTAATATTTTTCAACTAATAATAGAATACTGAAATCGAAGAAATAGAGCAAAGCTTTACTTCTATAACTTGATATTAAGGGAAAAAAGGTTTTAAGAAAATAGGACGTTATTTAGAAACATATGACAGAATACTCTTCTACTTGGCATCAGAGATTAATTCAATTTTTTCAAGGTTTTCATATTTCAATAGAATTTCTCTGTATATGTAGAGCAGTCTACTTTAAGACGGTCTTTTTATTTATATTTATGACACATGATGCATAAATTTGAACTGCAACAATAAATTTTATTGTTTGTCATTAAATCTTAAAACGTAGAGAGAGTATAAATATTCGGAGTTGGTAAAATTTTACCTACCTATAATCTACCGCTATCAAGACGAATTAATGAAGTAAAAGTAGATTAATCCTCTCCTTATCAAGTGAATACATTGACATGAGTTGCTAGTTTGATTACATAATGTAAAATAATTTTGTTGTTTAAAGTGATTTAATGAAAAACTGAAAGCTCTCTTCTTCCTTAAAATAAAATAACTAGTCAAAACACTTTTTTGTGACGAATCGCGGAATTTGCTACCAAAATATTTATTTGGTGGCGATTAAACTTGCCGTAAAATAGCAGAAAAATAAAAGAAAATAAGAAAATGCACTTCCTGTTGGGGAATCATCCTGAATTCCTATTTTATGGCCCTATAATACCAAAAAATAAGGAACGGTCGTAGCGAAACAATGACTATTGTTCATTAGATTGTTTTTTGTGGGCCCGGAATAGTTTAGGAAATTCGGGACCTATTGCCCGAATTCATGCAGATGGCATGGACTATAGCACACGAAAATCTAGGAATCGTCCTGAATTCCCGTTTTATAGTCTTAAACGCCAAAAACGAGGAGCGATCATGGCTGTAACGACCCGACCAGTCATTTTGAGCTTTAGCGCGTCATTCAGCGGTTCGAGTTATTGAGTAGCTTCATTTCAGGTGTTATGACTTGTACGTGTGGTCGGAATTAAATTTCGGGAAGTTCGGAGTTGATTTGGAAAGAAAAATTTAAATTTGGAAACTTTAAGTTAGAAGAGTTGACAAAACTTTGACTTTTGAGTAGACGACCTCAGAATCGAGATTTGAAGGTTCCAATAGGTTCGTATGATGATTTTGGACTTAGGCGTATGTCCGAATCGAGTTTTGGATGACTCGGGAGCATTTCAGCGCCTATTGTGGAAGTTGACATTTTGGAAGAATTTTATAAATTTGGGTTGAAGTACATTTCAATGTTATCGATGTTCATTTGGGATTCCGAGTCTGGAAATAGCTCTGTATAATAATTTTGGTATTGGGAGTGCGTCCGGAAGTGGATTCAGAGTTCCGTAGATCATTTTGGAGTCATTTGGCGAAAGTTGGAAATTTGAATAATTTTGAGAAGTTTGACCGGGAGTGAACTTTTTGATATCGGGGTCGGATTCCGATTCCGGAAGTAGAAGCAGGTCCGAAATATCAATTATGACTTGTGTGCAAAATTTGAGGTCAATCGGACTTGATTTGATAGGTTTCGGCATCGGATGTGGGAGTTAGAAGTTCAATAGTTTATTAGGCTTGAATCGATGCGCAATTCATAGTTTCGATGTTGTTTGTTGCGATTTGAGGCCTCGAGCAAGTTCGTATTGCGTTTTGGGACAGGTTGGTATAATTGGACGGTGTTCCGGGGGCCTCGGGTGTGTTTCAGGGTGATTTTGGATCGAATTTGGATGAAAAGTTGCTGCTGGTTTGCTGGTTCTGGTTTTGTTCTTCGCGAACGCGAAGAGAGTCCCGCATTCGCAAAGAAGGAAAATGGTGGCTGCTATCTTGTGCTTCACGAATGCGATCAGTGGGTCGCGAACGCGAAGAGGAGTTTTGAGGCTGCTGGGTTTTGGCCTTCGCGAACGCAAGGTGTAGTTTGCGAAGGCGGAGGGATTGACTGAGGAAACTACGCGAATACGAAGGGCCAATCGCGAACGCGTAGAAGAAAGGAGGAGACGGGCCTAAGGCCATTTGTCCTATGCGAACGCGATGGCTTAAACCCGAACGTGAAGCCTTGCATGGACAGGCCTTCGCGAACGCGACACTAGTCATGCAAACGCGAAGGGGAAATGCTGGGGCAGGAATATTTGGCCTTCGCGAACGCAAAGAAAAACGGGTATGAGCAGTGTTCTGTTAAAGACGGGGGTTGGACTCATTTCCACCCCATTTCTTCATGGGAGCCGATTTTGGGGACGATTATTTATCACCATTTTCACCATCAATCATGAGGTAAGTGATTCCTACTAGTTGTGAGTTAAATACAAGGTTTATATATGGATTTAGACATGAAAATTTGTAGAAATTTGGAGTTTTGAAGAAAAACCTAGAAATTGGTATTTTTGATTTTTCACTACGAAAATGCTTATGGAATTGAATAGAAATTATATATTTGAGTTCTTGAGATTATGGGTAACGTTTTCATCCGAAAATTTCCGGAATCCGGCCACGTGGGCCTAGGATGAATTTTAAGAATTTTACCATTTTGGGTTGAGTAATTTATTTAATAGCCTAAATTCGAATTATTAGACATGTATTAATTATTTTGTATAAAATTTGGATAGTTTCAGATTTTTCGGCATCGAATTGAGGTTTTTACGCGACATTTTGATCAGAAAGTGGACTTCGAGACAAGGTAAGTCTCTTGTCTAATCTTGTGAGGGAAAAATTACCCCATAGATGATTAAATTAAATAATTGTACTAATTGCGGGGGCTACGTACGAACGAGGTGACGAGAGTCTGTGCGTCGCTACTACTTATGCTAAAAGTCTGGGTAGATTAGGACTCAAATCATGAATTACTTGTGTAAATTATATTCTTTGTTTAATTAAAATTATTTGATATATATATATATATATATATATATAGTTAGGGAATAATACTAAAAGATAAAAATTTCATATGCTTAATTTTCTGTTTAAATTAATTAATTATTAAAAGAATTTGTTCATCCTCTCGAATTGATCTTATAATAAATATACTCTCCTTCCGGAGGTACATAAGAAAATGTCCTCCTTTTTTTGTGGAGCGAGACGAACGCCTCGGTAGGATAGATACATCTATGGATCGTGCCGCACATCCGTCGGCAGTGTACACGACATTATAGATCGGGTCGTACGACCTCGACAGAAAACGTGCCTAATAATAATAATTATATGATACTTTGCTATTTTTAATTGCAGCTTGTGAATTTAAATTAATAGATTGGGAATTCTTGCATTTGAAGGAATTTAATTATTTCTGCTGGTTAAACAAAATTATTGTTAACTCTGTGAATCATGTTGATTTAGATATTCTATTTTTATTTAAATTATCATTATTGACCCTTAGTGAGTGTCAAAGTCAGCCATCTCGTCTCTACCACTTCGAGATTAGGCTTGATACTTGCTGGGTACACGTTATTTACGTATTCATGTTGCACTTACTGCTCATTTTATTGTGCAAGTACATATATATTTAGCGGTCTTGTGGGTGCAGAGGTGTGATTAAAATGTGGGGACTTAGGTGAGCTGCATTCTGTATTACGATCCGCAACCAACAGAGTCTTCTTCAGAGTTGTGAGCATCTGATTTTTGCCCCACATATGAAATTACTCCTAAAAAATAATTCAAAAATAATTTTAATTGTTTTATGAATTTTAAAAGTTTTTCTTTATTTATTTTGCATTTATTCACATTGTTTATGCATGTTAGGAATATCGTAAATCATAAAAATCATAAAAAATATCCAAATCTTAATTTCATAGCATTATAGATTTTAAATTGCATTTTTAGAATTTAATTATATTGTTAAATGCATTATATAAATATCTAAAAACAAAAAAAAAGATGCATTCTTAGATTAGTTAATTAATTAGGTCATTAGCCAAGTAGTGAGTAAAATATATAGAATAGTTTAGCCACGCAAATTAATTTTAATTAAAATTTGAGTCCAAAGTGACTAATTTTGTAATTGTTTCAAGGCCATACCTGTAGAAGCCCAATCCACCCCATAGTCTGGCCCATACTCTTCTCCCCCACTTTATTAGAGGAGACCCTAATTTCACCCCTCCCCGAAGATCAGAGACAGAGATGGACAGGACCCCATTTTTACAAAACCCTAGCCGCCTCCTAAATTCCCTTTCTAATCTCACAGATCTCTCACTATCACATCTAGATACACCCATGAAATCTGTCATCTGATATTCTCACAAACACACCTACGAAAATGCTGAAAATTTCAGACGCATAGAGGAAGAGCATCTGAAAATAAAGCTTGGATTTTCTAATTTTCAAAATCAGATTTGAGAAACCAAAGTTTCAAAAAAACAAAAAGTGAAGTAGAGCTTCTTTCCTTTTTTCCCTACATAACCAATTCCTATTCTTCCAAAGTTTGTTCCTTCACTTTCCTTTTCATTTTCTAACTCCACATTCTTATCACTAAGGGTTGTGACTAGTAAGGTTTATTAATAAATTTAAAGATTAACGACCAAGAGTTGCTTTGAGTGAAAAAAGGCAAGAGAGGCGAGAACATTAGAGGAAAAAGCCAAATTTGAATTCTTCTAATCTTTGTTCAAGATGTTTCAAACACGTAGTTATAGTGAAAGGAGGCGAGCTATGACTCAACAACTTAAAAAGTAGAACTTATTTTAGGAGATACGAGGCCGGTCACCTGAATATTATGTAGATGGCATGGACATAGCACACGGAAATAAGGGAATCATCCCGAATTCCTATTTTATAGCCCTAAAATGCCCAAAAAATGAGAAATGATCATGGCGAAGCGACGACTATTGTTCATTAGATCGTTGTTGATGGGCCTGCAAAAGTTTAAGAGATTCGGGGCCGGCCGGCCGAATTTGTGTAGATGGCGTGGACTGTAGCACAAAAAAATCAAGGAATCGTCCTCAATTCCCTTTCTATGTCCCTAAAGCACCAAAAACGAGGAACGGTCATGGCGAAGCGATGACCATTCTTCATTAGGTCATTTTTTATGGACCCACAAAATTAAGGAGATTCCAGACCGGTCTCCCGAATTCATGCAGATGGCGTGGACTATAGCACACGAAAATCTGGGTATCATCTTGAATTCCAGTTATATGGCCCTAAAGAGCCAAAAAATGAGGAACGGTCATAGTTATGGGGTAACTATTGTTCATTAGGTTGTTTTTGATGGTCCCCCAAAATATTATGAGATCAAGGGCCGGTCGCCCGAATTCATACAGATGGCGCGGACTATACCACACAAAAATCTAGGAATTGTATTGAATTCCTGTTTTATGGCCCTAAAATGCTAAAAATGAGCAAAGATTATGGCATATCGATGACTATTATTCACTATGTCGTTTTTATGGACCCGTAAAATTTTAGGAGATTCGGGGTTGGTCTCCCGAATTCTTGCAGATGTCATGGATTATAGCACATGAAAATCTAAAAATCGTCATAAATTCTTATTTTATGGCCCTAAAACGCTAAAAAATGAGAAACGGTCATGGCTAAGCGGTGACTATTGTTCATTAGATCATTTTGATGGGCTTGTAAAATTTTAGTAGATTCGAGATCGGTCGCCCGAATTCATGCAGATGGCGTGGACTATTCCATATGAAGATTTGGGAATCGTATTTAATTCCCATTTTATGACCCTAAAATACCAAAAATCAAGGAGAGGTCATGGCGAAGCGATGACTATCATTCATTAGGTCGTTTTTTATGGTCCTGTAAAAATTTAGGGAATTCGGTGCTGGTTGCCCGTATTTTTGCAGATGGTGTAGACTATAGCACATGAAAATCTAGGAATCGTTCTGAATTCGTGTTTTAAGACCCTAAAATACCGAAAACAATAAAAGGTCATGGCGAAGCGATGACTATTGTTCATTAGGTCGTTCTTATGGACCCATAAATTTTAGGAGATTCGGGGGCAGTCGCTCAAATTCTTGTAGATGGCGTGGACTATAGAACACAAAAATCTAGGAATCATCCTGAATTCCTGTTTTATGGCCCTAAACACCAAAAATAAAGGAACGGTCATGGCTAAGCGGTGACTATTATTCATTAGGTCATTTTTTATAGGCCCAAAATTTTAGGAAATTTTGGGTCGGTTGCTCGAATTCATGCAGATGGCATGGACTATAGCACACGATAATCTAGGAATCGTTCTGAATTCTAATTTTATGGCCCTAACCGAAAAAATGAGGAAAGGTCATGGAGAAGCACACGAACATGTGGTAATCGTCCTGAATTCTTATTTTATGGCCCTAAAACGCCAAAAAATGAGGGACGATCATTGTGAAGCGATAACTATTATTCATTAGATTATTTTTTAAAGGGCTCACAAAATTTTAAGATATTCAGGGTCGGCCGCCAGAATTCATGTAGATGGCGTGGACTATATCACACAAAAATTTTGGAATTATCCTGAATTCCTATTTTATGGCACTAAAATGCATAAAAATAATAAAAAACCATGGGAAAGTGATGACTATTGTTAATTAGGTCGTCCTTGATGGTCCCGCAAAACTTTAGGAGATTCGGGGCCGGTCGCTTGAAATCATGCAAATGGCATGGACTATAACACACAAAAGTCTAGGAATCATCCTGAAATGATGTTTTATGGTCCTAAAACACCAAAAAATGATTAACGGTCATGGCTATGCGGTGATTGTTGTTCATTACGTCATTGTTTATGGCCCCATAAAAGTTTAGGAGATTCGAGGTTGGTCGCCCGAATTCATGCAGATGGCATGGACTATAGCACACGAAATTCTGAAAATCGTCTTGAATTACTATTTTATGGCCCTAAAATGCCAAAAGCAAAGAGGAACAGTCTTGCAGATTAATGGCCACCTGCCCGAATTCATGTAGATGGCATTGACTATATCACATGAAAATTTAAGAACTCCTGAATTCCTGTTTTATGGAACCTAAAACGCCAAAAAATAAGGAAGGGTCATGACGAAGCGATGACTATTGTTCATTAGGTCGTTTTGATGGTCCCGCAAAATTTTATGAAATTCGGAGCCGGTCGCTTGAAATCATGCATATGGCATGGACTATAACACACGAAAATCTAGGAATCCAAAGGCGGATGTAGTGAGTTATCGGCGGGTTCAACTAAACCCATAACTTTCGACGCGCGGTAAAACTTTATGGGAAAAAAATAAAAAATAGAAAAATTTACATCTGGTAATTGAAAAATAACTACAGTTTTAAAAGTAATCGAAATTTAGCTAATTTTTCATGTAAAGATAAAATTTGAACAAAAACATCCATAAAAATCCAGAAATATTCCAGCATAATATGATGGATTTCTAATTTTTTACATATGAGATTCCAACATAATGTGCTGGAATTTCATAATATGATGGAGTTCTAACATTTATAATATGCTAGAAGTTTATACGTAAGAGCTCCATATAATTATCCCACATATTATGGTGGAACTTTAAATGTTCAAGCAAAACATTGGCGATTTATTATAATGACTTTGCAAACGTTGGGCTATTTTTCGATTGCCAGCCCGAAAAATGGCTAGCCCGTGCTATTTTCACAAAATTTATATGTAAAAATACATAAAAATTGCAAAAATAGTAGATATGAACCCATAATTTTAAAAATATAATGGGTTGAATGCTAAAAACCTTAAAAGTTGAACCCATAGGATTTAAATCCTGGATCCTTCTCTGTAGGAATAGTCCTGAATTCTTGTCTAATGGCCCTAAAATGCTAAAAATAAATAAAGAACGGACATGGCTAAGCAAAAATTAGATAGTTTTTATTGGGCCCGCTAAATTTTAGGAGATTCATAGCCGGTTGCGCGAATTCATGCTGATGGCGTGGACTATAGCATATAAAAATTTGGGAATCATCTTGGATTCCTGTTTTATGGTCGTAAAACGCCAAACAAAAAGAGAAAAGGTCATGGCGAAGAGATGAATATTGTTCATTAGGTTGTTTTTCATGGGCCCGCAAAATATTTGGAGATTCGGGACCGTTTGCACGAATTGATGCAGATGGCGTGGACTATAGCACACGAAAATTTGGGTATCGTCCTTAATTCCTGTTTTATGGCTCTAAAACACCAAAAAATAAGGAGTAGTCATGGCGAAGCGATGAATATTGTTCATTAGATTTTTATTTATGGGTCTGCAAAATTTTAGGAGATTCGGGGTTGTTCGTCCAATTTCTTGCAGATGACGTGGACTAGAGCACACGAAAATCTAGAATCATCCTACATTCCTGTATTATAGCCCTAAAACACCAAAAATAAGGAAAAATAATGGCGAAGTGCTGACTATTATTCATTAGGTTATTTTATGGGCCCGCAAAATTTTAGGAGATTCAGACCGGTCGCCCAAATTCTTGCAGATGGCGTGGACTATAGCACACGAAAATCTAGGAATCGTCTTGAATTCCTGTTTTATGACCCTAAAGCGCCAAAAAATGAGGAACGGTCATGGCTAAGCGGTGAATATTGTTCATTAGGTTATTTTTTATGGGCCCCTAAAATTTTACCATATTCGGGACTGGCGGCCCGAATTCATGCAGATATAGCACACGAAAATCAGAGAATCGTCCTAAATTCTTGTTTATGGCCCTATGAGGAACGGTCATGGTGAAGCGGTGACTATTGTTCATTGGGTTGTTTTTAATGGGCCTGCAAAATTTAGGAGATTCGGGGCTGGTCGCTTGAATTCATGCAGATGGCGTGGACTATAGCACACGAAAATCTAAGAATCGTCCTGAATTCCTGTTTTATGGCCCTAAACAATAAAAAATGAGGAATGATCATGGTTAAGCGGTGATTATTATTCATTATGTTATTTTTTATGGGCCCGTAAAATTTTAGAAGATTCGGGGCCGATCGCCCAAATTCTTGCGGATGGCGTGGACTATCTAGGGATCATCCTGAAAATCAACATTTTCTTCTCGTATACCTATAGCAGAATGTTGACATTTTAATGAAAGCTCTTTGAACCAGTTATTGGACACTATGTTGGATGAGAAAAATTACTAGGTATTTTCTTTTCGTACACCTATAGTATAATGTCGACATTTTAATCGTGAAAGCTCTTTGAACCCGTTATTGGACACTATATTGGATGGGAAAATATTATTAGGTGTTTTCTTCTCGTATACCTACAGTAAAATGTCGACATTTTAATCTTGTAAGCTCATTGAACCTGTCATTGGACACTATATATATTGGATGAGAAAAAATTATTAGGTATTTTCTTCTTGTATACCTATAAAATTTTGATAGATTGAGTTATCCGATACTTGTACTACTAAGAGGTAGCAGTTATCGGTGGAATAGGATCGTTTTGAATTTCATGAGTTAAAGCTGCAACAATGATACATAATTGAAAGACAACTTCACTAGTGAAAAACTCCAAAATGCGTGAATAATAATATCATTAAAAGAGTGAAAAACACAAAACTCACTGAAAATTTCACTAGATAGTGAAATATTCAGGCATTGGCAATGTCAGTCAATGGAATTAGTAGGAGTCCAATGAAGACAACATGCCTTATTTGTTAAAAGGAAAGCAACATTTTAGAAAACAAAGCAAGGAAAATATATATGATCAATTCTTGGAATCATCTTCAAATCGAGCATCAGGGGCTTCATGAGCAGTGGCACAACACCTTGCACATCCCTGGCCATAGCGGTATCCGCGGCAGCAACCATATCTGCAACCTCTCCATGGGTATCCGTTACGTCCACCACCACGACCATTACCGGGATACCCTCCTCCGCCCCCGTTGCCCGGGTATCCACCTCCTCCATATTGAGCTTCTTCAACATCGCCCTTCACCTTGCTTTCTTCTGTTTAATAACACCAAGGATATCGTTAGTTGTATAGGCAAATTCAGGATCTAGAATCAATAAGTTCAGAATAAGTGTGATCATATTATATGTATATATTTAGGTGCTTTTGTATAAGTATATCTACATTATTTGTCCCTGAAAAAGAAATTTAGTTAAACTTATAGAACCCGCCCTAAATCTCCCTCGGATTATAGTTGCATTGATGCAACAATACCAAGGCAAATTTATAAATAAAGATATTCAAACATGCAAAATGAGGATTACTTACTTTGAGCTCCCACTTGGGAGGAAACAAGAAGGACAAGAGCAAGGAGAAGACCTAAAAAGAGCAAACTTTTTGTTGAAGCCATTTTGAAAAATATTTAGCTATGCACTATTTCTCACTTGTTGAGTTTACTTTCTAAAGGGTGCAGTGGAGAAGTACATCAACCTCAAATCCTATTTATAGACCCAAAAAATATCTTATTTAAGGAGCAAAGATTTGCTGGCCATGAAGATTTCACGTGAAGGGAAGTATGGGACTCGTCATTTTTGGCACTGAATTTTTGCTCGAAATTAAAAGCTTCTGCTTTAGAGTCCCCACTTCCATACAGTGAGTGATGAATTCTCCTAATTGAATTTTTAGATACTCTTTGATTTACAATAAAGCCAATCTTCTTTCGTCATGCATGATGCTCTCTCAATCCCCAAACTCCAACAAGAAAAATAAAAAAGAAAAAAAGAAAAAGTAGAGAGACAGAAACCACAAAAGTCAAGAAAATGAAAGAAGTATTGCACCAAGGAAAGAGTTCAACTTCTATATATTGATAGCGTTAAAATTCTAATATAAAGCTTAAGCGGCTACAACAGGTTGAAAGCACATATAGTGTATAAATTCTTTATAATTTTAGCGTATATAAGTAAAATCCAAAAGAAAAATGAATAAGATACTAAGGGGAATTGCTCGATTAACTGGTCTAAATTACAACGGGAATTGCCAGAGTTAACTGGTCATAATTGACATCTCGATTAACTGGTCTAATTAATTTTATTTGGAAATTGATAATCACATCTTTGGGCAAAAATATCCCAATGTATTTGACTTTCTCAAATCTCAAGTACTCCATCACTATGCAACAACTTATCGTCCTTATCGATCTATGATTCGTCAGCCATGCAAACTCAGGTTTAGAAACTCTTGGTTCCTCTGTAGTTTTTACATTTTATATATTTTTGGATAAATTTAGCGAAATATAGAATTCAGGATTTGAAAGTGCCTGGGCACCACTATCGACTACAAATTTGAGAAAATACTAAAAATGGGAATCGAACCCAATAGTGCACTCAAGTTGTGCCACCCGCAAATCGACCAATACAGTTGCCTAAGCTTTGAGTCTTAGGGTGCCAATCAAAATATATAGTACCTGTTATTTATGATATATACATATAATTTTTTCGAAATTACCGGGAGCCGATGACCCCCTATCCTAAGGGTAGGTCCACCTATGAGTGGGTCATACGTAAATCCTTCCAAGGAAAACAAAATAATTTTCAACCTTTTATATTTTCTTGGGTTAATTTTGAGCTATATATATATGCAGCACAAATTGACCCAATCTTTTAGATGGGCTAACTTGAGCTATATCCAGAATGACCGGCATAAGGAACATATGCTTACTCAACCATCCATTCAAATTTTGGCGAGTTACATTTTCTAAATTTGATATTCACTATATCTTTATTCTGGTATCATCTTTTGAATTGGGGAATAATCAGTTTCTATTATAACTTTTACAAAAAAAAGAAAGTGATATTTGACATCGTTTCGAATATTTCGGGGATGTACCATAATAGAAGTGAAAATGTAGAAAAGAATACCCATTCAAAAAAAAATTGAAAAAAAAAAACAAAGGAAGATATTGGAGAAAAAGAGTAAGCAATGGTTTTTAAAATATTGAACGAAATCGTACGTATAACTATTGGTAAATAAAATTCTTTAGTATAAAAAGAAACAGATATTGGACGAAATTTCCTCCCTGATCTATAAACTTCTAGGTAATTTACAAGCTTCAAAATATGGTTGGCATAAATGATGAGTAGCCAGCCTATGGGTAAGCCAAATTCTTTTCTTTTTTTAAAGAAACATTAAGAACTCACCACGAGACTTAATTTTCTGTTATTAAAGAATTTAAAGAAACCGATTAATTTGTATATTAGGAAAGGGACTTCACCTTTCCAATTATAACTTTAAAATGAGAAAAAAGATTATACTCTTGATCATACGTTTAAGTTATAAAGATTTGCAGCGTGAAAGTCTCTAAGATAAGACCATTACGAGGCGTCTTCTTCTTATTATTTTTTGAATAATCATAGTGTATAGGGTAAAATCGGTTCATAATAAATGGACAAATGGCAGCATGACACGTGCAATTAACACCTGCAATTAACGTGAAACCGAAGACAGGCAAAAGGTGAACCATGTAACAATTAATACCGGGAACAACACCTGCAATTGAAATCGGGTAAACCCCGAAAGGAGTAAGGTTAACGGGAGCAGACCAAATAATTGCCATCGGATAGCATTCAATAAGGAATATTCTCTAACATTGAATGAGCAATCGTTGCAGAGAATATATGCATTCATGACCTGCTGTTACATATTCATCAATTACTTTTTTATTGTCATTTAAGTGGGGCTTGATCCTAGGATCTTGTTTCCCTAGGTATAGCTATAAATAGTAGGCTCAGCGTCCTTTGTGACACATGAAATTCTTGGCAAAACTTATGCTATATTTCATTTTCAAGATCAATTAAACAACTTTATTTGTTCTTTTACATTGCTTTCATTTCTGTCCTCGGAGACACTGCTCTCGGAGCCAGGCTTGTCATTTTCTTCAATTTTAATGTCTAAGTATTACTTTTAATCTTGTTTATTTACTATTTTTGGATCAAATCAGTTCGCTTGTCTATAAACCACGTAACAAATTCAAGTGTACCGTTTTACGGGTAAACAGTTTGGCGCCCACCGTGGGCCTTAGACAGTTGCGTAATTACTTTGATCCTTACGAGTATTACTAACTTGTTTGGTTTTTTCCTTAGCAAAGAATCAAAAATGACAGTTAATGACGTCAACATTGCACACAACGTTTAGGAACATGAAAATCTGCCTCGACATGAGGATTTAATCAACGACGCCCGTAACGAAGGGGACGAGGCAACCCCAGTTCGTGAAAGGCAGTACCCCCGGCATGTACGAGAGCCAACTCTCGATGACGCGGAAGAGGATCACGTTGCGAAAAAATGAGAATCCTAAGAGAGCAACAAAATGCCATCAAGGACCACCTCACAAGGCAGGATCATGTAATGACGGAATTGAAGCAAGCATTGTAGGCGCTTCCAACAACACAAACGGAAGGGGTTAGTTCCTCTCGGCGTTCCTGCAAATCAAACGGCTCAAAGAGTTGATAACAACACCCTAAGAGATGAGGTAGGTTTTGACGGTGTCGGAGGGACCAACAGTGGATCTCGTAACGATAATGGGAATGACCCCTTCAAAATCGAGCTCATGAGATTTATGAGGGAAGTGAATAAATGAATGGATCAGAATGCTAATGAGTTTCACGCTCGAATGGATGTGATTTTGGGCCCACCATCAGTATTGAAAGGCCCAGATTGGAAGAAATACACACAATTACCGTTCAAATCGAGCGTAGAGCAAGAGTTTATTCCGAATAGATTCAAAATGCTGGACATACCAAAATATAATGGGACTTACGATCCGCAGGAGCACATCAAAACTTACACCACGACTGTAAAAAGGAAACAATTTGGCTCAACATGAGATCGAATAAGTGTTGCTGAAGAAGTTTGGTGAAATCCTCACAAGGGGGCCCTGACATGGTATTTACTCTTACCCGAGCATTCAATTGACTATTTTAAAATGATTGCAGATTCATTCATAGAGGCCCATGCCGGGGCAAGGAAGGTCCAATCCAGGAAGGCTGACATATATAGAATCGCTTAAGGTGAGTTCGAACTGCTGCGGGAGTTCGTGATCAGGTTCCATACACTACTACAAATCCGGTAAAAAGCGACCAACGTTGGTCGGTAATGGCCAAAAACATACCAAAACGCGACCATTTATGCGTGGACAGTATTTTTGTGGTCGGAAAGGCATACCGACCAAAGTTGGTCGGAAATTACAGACCAACTTTGGTCGGTCAATTAAATTCAAAAAACAAAAATATTGCAAAAAAAATCGACCAAAGTTGGTAGGTATTTTAATTGTGTAATAAAAAGATTCACCATCTGGAAATCGAACCGGGGTCTGTACTATGGCAGGATACTATTCTACCACTAGATCATTGGTACATTTTATTTTAAGACTGTCTTTTATTTGATTTATACTCTTTAATTATATTTTCGCACGAAAATAAACGACCAAAGTTGGTCGGTTTTATTAAAAAGTAAAATTACCGACCAAAGTTGGTCGGTGTTTTTAAATGACCGGCCGAAATAACCGACCAATTTTGGTCGGTTTTTTTAATATTAATTTTTATTTATTTTAATTAAAAAACCGACCAAAGTTGGTCGGTTTCTTGAAACATAAATTTTGCGGGACTCAAAAATAGTTTCCCGCATTTTTACGCCAAAGAAAACCGACCAAAGTTGGTCGGTTTCGTAAAAAAAAGTTTAAAAAAAATATTTTAAAAAACCGACCAACTTTGGTCGATTTTTTGACCGACTAAAGTTTGTCGGTTTTTGCCGAATTTCTAGTAGTGATAAAGAAAGGAATATGTTACCGGTCGTACTAGATGAGTGGGCAATGGAGGCGTTCACAAAGGGTTTGAACCCGAGGAGCTTCGACGCCTCCCGAAAGCTGAAGGAAAGACTCCTCAAATTCAAAGAGACCACATAGGCAAATGTCTATAATCGTTATGAGATGATCATCTCGGGTGCCCAATATCAACCAAGGCACGAGATCGATACAAGAACCAGGATAAGTTCAAAAGCGATTTTGATGCGGACCAGCGATCTTCTCAAGGTCATTTCTACCATACGAGAGAACTAAAGGACGCGGCAACCAAGAGTTGTGGAGCTCAGATAGGTTTGCTCCTAATAGAAGAACTGACAATGACCAAAACAACAAATCGGTACAAGAAAAATAGGTATCGGGGACCCTGAATTCCACATATCGCAGGTTGTCGGATTATAATTTCAACATCAGCGTAATGGAATTAGTGTCGGCAATGAGGAGTATCAAGGAAGCGTGATTCCCGAAGCCGATTAGATCTGACCCCAGCTAGAGGGATCCTAACTTGTGGTACGAATATCATGGGACTTACGACCGCAGAACTGGGGACTGCCAGTATTTACGGGAAGAAGTGGCGACATTGTTGAAAAATGGTCATCTTAGGGAGTTCTTGAGCGACCGAGCCAAGAACAATTACGGTCATAGCCGGGACAATGCAGAGCCTTCGAAGGTAAAGAAATATTCCCCTTGGTTGAATATCAACATGATTTTTGGAGGGAATGAAATCAACGATGTAACCTTCTTCGCG